TTTAAACGCATAAAAATTGTACAATCAGGAAGTTACGTTCCGATATGCTCGAATATCGAAAGCAAACCAGACATTTGGGTTATAAACATGCACTTCAAGTTTCATCAAAATAGGATCAAAATTGTGACCTCTAGGGTGTCCACAAGCTAAAAATGTGATTTTTCGTACAATGCAAGTATCGATCAAAGTAAGGCCAAATGAAATACTTGCGACACTTCATACCAGCACAGTATGCAATGATGAGCCATTGTTGACATCTTTAGTTTTATTATCATGATTCTTGATAGACATATAACTATTGTGAGGACCATTGTTTATTTCATAGTTAATAAATTTGTTATTACTTATCAGAAACAATTCAAATTAAAAAATTCAATAGCCTAATTAGGTATTGTTCTAGTTTGTGATCTTGTAATATCAGAACACATTGAAAATATTTCGAAGAGGGGCCTCCGCATCGTACAGACTGTTCTCCAATTCTATGATTTTGATCATCATGCAACTGGCTTATTCCCTATTCCAATCAAAAGGTTTATCAGGTGGACTGTTGTACTTTAATGTCTGTCTGCACATGCATAGAAATGGTATTCACAAAAATCGCATTGAGAGACCTGAACTCTCAAACAGTGTGTGAATAAGGATTTAACAAGCAAACAGTGAGGCTGATGTCCCCCGCCGAAATCCAAAAATAAATAGATGACACATTAATTAATAGCACATTTATTTTTTTCAGAAGTATCAAGCAATCAAACAATACACTGAGTTTCATCACTCACTATCAGATAAAATCAAGATTATCTTGTCCCAAAGCATCGATCAATGAAATTTATAGCTCTGCTTAGCTTTAGCTTGAAATGTTAATCATTGAACTCAGTCAAGACATTCACCTAATGAACTTCTACATCAATTAAATGCAGAGTTGTTTTGTTCCAAAGTCTTGACCAATCAAATTGCTTATTGCTCCTTAGCCTAAGCAGAAAATTCTCACCATCAAACTTAGTCATGGTAATGATATATTCAGAGTTTCATCGTTCTGACTTCATTATAACCAAAGTTATCAGTGCCCCAAAGCATCAACCAATCAGATTGTTTATCTCTGCTTACCGTAAGCAGACAATGTTCATCATCGAACTCCAACAAGGCATTCACCTAATGAAAGCCTACATCAAGTTTGAACATTCTACCCCAATTAGAAGGAGAGTTATATTGTGTTCCAAAGTCTAGACCAATCAAATTGCTTATCACTCTACTTACCCTCAGCAGAAAATGTTCATTATCAAACTTAGTCAAGGTATTGATGTAATAAAGCTATACACCAAGTGCGCTCATTCTCACTTAATTGGAACTGAAGTTATCGTGTCCCTAAGCGTCAACCAATCAAATTGCTTATCTCTGCTTACCCTAAGCAGAAAATGCTCATCTTCGAACTCCATCAAGGCATTGACCTAATAAACACCTACACCAAGTTTGAACATTCTAGCTCAATTAGAAGGAGAGTTATTGTGTTCCAAAGTCTTGGCCAATCAAATTGCTTATCGCTCTGCTTACCCTGAGCAGAAAATGCTCATTATCGAACTTAGTCAAGGTATTGATGTAATGAAATGAAATGAAATGAAATGGAGTTTAACGTCCTACTGTTCTGCTCCTAACCTGGGCTAATGAAGACAGGCATACGCCATACAGTGTGCTATGAGGGAAATTTTGCCCGAACAGCGTCACTACGGCCTACTCATATTTTATAATACCAACTGCCAAGGGATCTTTTACGTCCCATCTGAACGACTAGAAACTATACACCAAGTTTCATCGCTATCACTTAATTAGAACAAAAGTTATCTGTCCAAAAGCATCAACCAATCAATTGCTTATCTCTGCTTACCCTAAGCAGAAAATGCTCATCTTCGAACTCCATCAAGGCACTGACCTAATAAACACCTACACCAAGTTTGAACATTCTAGCTCAATTAGAAGGAGAGTTATTGTGTCCCAAAAAGTGTGACAGACAGACGGACGGACAGACGATCCCATTTTAATAGTCCCCTGCTTTCTTCGAAACGTGGGGGACAAAAAATAACTGAGACCGGTAAGGATTTTGTAATGTGTATTCTTTCCTTTTTATGGCCCCTATGAGAGTCTTATGTTACCGGTAAGTCTAAATAGCAACGCACATGGCAACCGAAATAAGTTGCTGTGCGCGTGGCAAATTAGATAACAAGAGATCGGTAAGTATTTTGTACTGTTTATTCTTTCCTTTTTACGGTCTTGTATTACCACTATGTCTAAATAGCAACAAGCAAGGCAATTGAAAAAAAAAAAAAATTCAATTGCCTAGAGCTTTGGCTATATAGATGTACAGTGTGTCAAGCAAAATAATGATTTCTTCACAACTTGGATAATATTTTAAAGATATTTACCACGTCATTTTGAATAGTTATCGGCAACTCCAGTATCGGCAAAATGGCCACATATCGGCCAATTACCGATGTCAAAACCAATTATCGAACCATTATTACCTAAAGCACCTTAATTCGACCTTGATCGTTGAAGGCTCTCTTCTCTTACTTCTGTTCTTAGAAAGTTTGGCGCTTTTATTTAGCATCCCTTACCCTTTTGAGCAGGTAGTACTATGAGGCACATTTAACTTTGGTATCTGTATCATAAATGTAAATAATTTGTATCCATCATAATTTTCATCAAATATCAGTATGCTTGCTATCATAAAATTGGTTGTTTTGACCTCTCTTTTCCCTGTTGGCAGGTTTCACAATGCAATTGACCACTTTCCGGAAAAGTGGTTAATCTATGGTTTTGCTGTGGGCAAAGACTTCTTGACCCGGCACCACTTACTATCAGACAATTTCTCATATCACATTCATTCTTATTTTCATTTTTTTTTCTCTGTGTTTATTGCATTTTCATTTTCCTAAATTGCTACACTATGTAGCTATATGAGTATATGATGCAAGTCATTAGATATGTTTAAATGTAGTAAACATCATTGTGTTATGCAGTATTAGTAAATTACACTCTTTATTGATTCCTGGTTTACTCATGCGTATTTAGTTTTTCATACAACGGGTTGTTGTTCATTTGAACTTCTTCAGACAATGATATGATGTGAACATAGCTGATGCAATATTATTACAATCATTATCTATTCCTAGTAAAACCTGAATGCATTTTCAATTATGTGTTGTAATTCTATGTTTTCATCCCGCGGGTTATGGCTCATTTGAACTTGTTTAAACTTTGTTGAATTGGAACACATTTTATTTCTGACATCAACAGAGGGTGTCAATCTGTGCATAAAACCATTTTGATATTTTGACCTACCCCCGCATCATAGAAAATAGAGCTAATCTTGGCAGGTGTATGTTTTCTGTTCTATCCACCTTAAGTTACAATTTTGGTAATCATTACTCCCAGAGAATAGATGAGACTTTATGGTCTTCACATTGGGGCACAGGAAGACCCCCACTAACATCAACAATCACCACCATTTTCATCCAATCCCTAGACTCGCCACAATAGGTGGCTAAAAATTAACACAAAATGACTTGAAAATGGGAAAATGGGCCAAAAATCACCCGGAGGCTGTCTCTCATTAAAAGTAAATTTCTGAGATCGGTTCTTCTGGCTATGAAGTAGTCTGGAGGAGTCCATACCCCCCCCCTCCGAGATGAGCCCAATCTGCCGACCCCCACCTTCCCATCTTCTGCACGGATTTCTCGGCGAATGACTCTTAAAATCATTCATGTTTCAGTAATATCTTTTTTAAATATCTAATATTGAGATGGAAACTTCACCTTTACCAGTATGATATGAGTGAAATTACCTTTACAGATCTATTATTATTTAAACACCTCTGATACCACTTCCCTATGGTTTAATTGAGAAAAAAAAAATAATATATTCAATTTTATTATTTGGATTTTCCCCCCCCCCCCCAAGATGAACCCAATCTGCCGACCCTCACCTTGCCATCTTCTGCACGGATTTCTTGTGGAATGACTCTTAAAATCGTGCATGTTTCAGTAATATCTTTTTTAAATACCTAATATTGAGATGGAAACTTCACCTTTACCAGTATGATATGAGTGAAATTACCTTTACAGATCTATTATTATTTAAACACCTCTGATACCACAACCCTTTGGTTTAATTGAGAAAGTGATTTTTCCTACAATCAAGGGCCATAATTCAGGAAATTACAATTCGATATGCGCAAATATCGAAAGGAACCGAGATCTTTGGGTTATAAACTTACATTTCAAGTTTCATCAAAATCGGATAAAAATTGTGACCTCTATAGGGTCCACAACCTTGATATATCATATTTTTACGCTATTTGAGAACAAGGGGCGGCCATTTTGTCTGTCAGTTTTGGGCCAATTTTCACAAAATTCAAACTTAGTCGTCCTTATGGTGTAACGGTGATATAATAATACGTTTTTTTTTTTAAATTGGGTAAAAATTGTGACCTCTATAGGGTCCACAACCTTGATATATCATATTTTAACGCTATTTGATAAAAATTATGACCTCTATAGGGTCCACAAGCTAAAAACGTGATTTTTCGTACAATCAGGGGCCATAATTCAGGAAGTTATGGTCTGATGTGCGCGAATATCGAAAGGAACCAAGATCTTTGGGTTATAAGCATACATTTCAAGTTTAAATCAAATCGGATAAAAATTGTGACCCCTACAGTGTTCACAAACTAAAAATGTGATTTTTCGTACAATCAGGGGCCATAATCCATGAAGTTACAGTCCGATACATGCCAATATCGAAAGGAACCGAGATCTTAGGGTGATAAACCTATATTTCAAGTTTCATTAAAATCGGATAAAAATTGTGACCTGTAGACTGTTCACAAACAATTGTGGATGGACGGACGGAGGCGACGACAATATATGTCCACATGAAAATGTGGGCGGATAAAAACAAGCATTAAGGTAGAAGTTTAATGATATTATATGAAATATAGTATATCTTACCCTAAACCTCTAGCAACAGGATCAAGTTGCTGACACATACAACCTCTTACTTCATAATCTACATCTTGACACAATGACTGTACAACAGGTAAAATCTCTTTCTTTATTCTACAACATAGTATATTATACCTATATTACTAAATAATTCACATAACCTTTATTACTACATAATTAATATATCATACATTTATTACTACAAAATATATTATACCTTTTTTACACAGATAGAACCCAATGACCATTGAATACCGTTTGGGTTATTCAATGGTTCACAAGAGAATAACCCGTATTACACAGCATGTCGGAATACTCAATTGCTTCAATACCGGAAGTATTATTGCACCTTTGTCCACACCCTTAAATCACTGTTGATGTCTTCAAACTAAACGTTCAAGTAAAATCGTTTCTTACCGCTGTTAAAGTTATTGGCAATCTTCTGTTTGAATTCATCTTTTCACTTTAAAATGTCGCATACTGTAGTACGGCCAATTTAATACTTAACGGCTAATTCCTTCTGTGTAAGTCGTAGAACTTTCTCAAAATTTGCTATAATGTCAAATCTGTACGGGCACGCTTTGCAGGACGATCATGCATTATGAACTGAATTGAGAAACTCATATCGGCCATTGGCATTGCTGCCGCAAACAGGTCGCTTACTTGTAATAAGGAAATAAATCGGGACATGAAAATGATGACGGATTTCACAGAATGCCGAGTATTCAGATGTCGGAAGTGACAGAGTCCACTGTACATGCAAACCTCAAAATATGAACAAGTTCAATGGTCATTGAGTTCTGCAGACACTGTACTATCTAGATTATCAAAAAAATCATCACCAATAACATCAAATTTAATCATAGGTTCCGCCATTTTTTTTTTATGAAAACAGTGGTTGCCAAGTAAAAACGTCATTACAACTGTGATGTCATTCTGGAAGAAAGTAGTCCCTGTCAAGTCATTGAATACAACCATGGCTTATTCAATGGTATTTGCATGTATTTGCATGTAGTTATAGAATAAGCAGTTATATTTCATATCAACCTATCATGATGACATCTCAGGTTAATATATTCTGTTCACGTCAACCGCTGATGACAATGATCGAAAAAACACAAAGAAGACAGAAATAAACTTTTATTATTTTGACAATTACAAATTTTTATGGTACAGTTTGTAGCATTCAGCACCGAAATAAGACGGCATATTTATCGGCATATTTAGATTGGTTATTCATGTCTATGATCTCTTTCAGAATTTTCTAATCGTCCACATTTCGATTATTTTTCCACACACTCCAAGACTTGAAACTATTTATAGCCCAAGAGTTCCTTTGTAAAGTAATTCTAGGTACAGTCCACTTAGCACAGTCGGTCAAATCCTTCCCTGAACATACCAAAATCCTTCACGGTTCACTGTCAGAATTATCAGAAAAGATTGCCTTTTTATCCAAATTTTCTTCATCCTTTTGACTAGTATAACTAATAGATCCTCATCAGAATTTGCATTCACATCTATTCCACCGTCAATCTGTTGGCTAAAAAGGACTGATTATCCATTTTGTTTGTGCTTTCAATTGAATTGAACCTACATGTATATTTACTCCAAAATGGCGACAGTAGTTGGGTATAAACAATGCATTCACGTGATTAGTTCAGTAATTTTCGGTATTCAATAATTGTTGACTTTTAATGGAAGAGTCCATTTAATTTAAGGGTGATAAAAACTATGACTTTGTATATGTCAGATATAAACCTTCTCTCCCTCGGATTGATATGATAGAGAACACTTGAGCTTCACCCGCGTGTGCTCTATCATATCAACCTCGGGTAGGTAAATATCCTATACATACATAATATATTAATTATTATACCTTTATTACTAAATAATGTATCATACCTATTGTAAGGGTCAAATTTTGTTTGTATAGATCCAAGTCCATTATTTTGTTGGTGTTATATCCAAGTTAATGTTTCAGATACGCATTTCCTGTCTTAAGCTAAGGTCATGCTGTTAGCCTGATTGTATTTGTAGTTTATGAAGCCATGTGCTTTTATTCATTTTTCAACGTACTAACGTGTTTACTTATTAACGGTTAATAAACATGTTGTAAACCCACCCAGTTATCTTACAAGTCGTAAGTACACATAATAGCGATATAAAACTGTAATATATATTTGTACTTGTAATCCGTTTTAAGAATAATTATGTACATGTAAGCATAATTTTTACGTATGTATTTTGTTTATTTGTAGAACCAGCAGCTGCCAGGCAGAATACGCCCACATTTTCGAGAGATGGATAGTGATTTTTCCTACAATCAAGGGCCATAATTCAGGAAATTACAATTCGATAAGCTCAAATATCGAAAGGAACCGAGATCTTTGTGTTATAAACTTACATTTAAAGTTTCAACAAAATCGGATAAAAATTGTGACCTCCATAGGATCCACAACCTTGATATACCATATTTTTACGCTATTTGAGAATGAACAGCGGCCATTTTGTCTGTCAATTTTGGGCCGATTTTCACGAAATTCGAACTCAGCCGTCTTAGGGTGTAACGGTGATATAATAATACAATTTTTAAAATCGGATAAAAATTATGACCTCTATAGGGTCCACAAGCTAAAAACGCGATTTTTCGTACAATCAGGGGCCATAATTCAGGAAGTTACGTCCGATATGCACGAATATCGAAAGGAACCACGATCTTTGGGTTATAAACTTACATTTCAAGTTTCAACAAAATCGGATAAAAATTGTGACCTCTATAGGGTCCACAAGCTAAAAATGTGATTTTTCGTACAAACAGGGGCCATAATCCATGAAGTTTCGATCCGATACATGCCAATATCGAAAGTAGCCGAGATATATATCTTTTTTATTTGTAGCATCAGCATGATTTCTAATAATTTCTAATGTTTATACAAGAATGTCGGTTTATATTATATATTTGAAAAAGTAAGCAAGTCAATATACGACAAGGATATTTAAATATACTTCGGACGTAAAATAAGAAATGCCTTTTAAAACCTTTTAAAATCCCTGCTTTACTATAATCCTTTTATAAATTTGGTCTTTAACTTTTCACCCCGCTACTTATGTTATCTCCCTTGCTTGGGATGAGGGAGTTTACATATTTAGGAGGGTACTTAAAAAAAAAAAAAAAAACAGAAAAAAAAACAGGTTGCTATACTCCTTTCCACGAAAAAAGTCGAAAGAGAGAGGAGATAAATAGCTACCTTCTTAAGAATTAAAATGCATGGTACATCTAAGCAGTGATGGGATTTCAAAAAATTTCTTGTCGGACATTTTTTCCCGAAAATAAAGGGGCATAACTCTTATCGTAATTTAAGCAGACGTTTTCAAAACACAATAAAGAATCACGTGTCAACAAAATATATTCAAATTCATATGTAAAAAAAATAGGTGCACCTCGTTATATTTCATGTTTAAAACCCGTACGGTATTCAAATTTATGTCAATAATATTCCTACAAAATTACATGACATCGTAATACTATAGAATGGCAGCGTGCCGGCTGCTGCCGATCTGTTTCAAACTCCCCCAAAATTACCGCATTTTTCGGGTCATACGTTGGTACATTTTTCAGCAAAGTCCGACATTCGTCTGATACTCCGTTTCGATTTATATACGGAAGGTAAAAAAATGACATCCTGAAATTTATTTGGCCGTAAACCGTAGTTAACGACGCTCTAATACAATGAGCGAGTGACACCAACTGCTAAATAATTGCATTCGACTGTAGCACGCGCTATCGTCTAAAACAATTAACTACTTATGTCATTCCAATCGAAATATTCGTCAACATTTCTTAGCGTGTTTATTTATTTATTTAAAGACATAAACCCCCATCAAAATATGATCATAAATCCGACAATATGCCATCAAAATAGAATCTTTTCCCGGACATCAGTCGTATTGGATTCGGCACGTATACATCTCTTTATTTATTTAAAGACATAAACCCCCTTCAAAATATGATCATAAATCCGACAATATGCCATCAAAATAGAATCTTTTCCCGGACATCAGTCGTATTGGATTCCGCACGTATACATCTCTTAATTTCACGTGTCTCGCGAGATTTGTACTTTCATTTTAATTACTGAACTATATAAGCGCCATATGCGTGTGTGTGAAATATCTTTATTTAACTTCAGCTTCCACCGAAAATATATCACAGACAAGTTATCGGATACAATGTATGTTGATTTGAGGTGTTATATACTATCAGGATATGTGACATATATGACTAATTTCTACGTGTTATTGTCTGACACAAAGGAGATTAAAACGTGAAACAATGGACAAATCACGGGTTAATCAGATTAAGTTTATAATCACTCTTATTGGATCGATATATCGTCCGACAAAGGAGAAGCAATGACATCTGTTCAGGATTGATTTGATGAATTGTCCGACAAAGGATTAAGTCAGCCAATCAAGGCAGAATAGTAGTTAATCAAGGTAGGTGTGTAGACGACATAACACGATAAATAGTCGATCACTTAATTACCTAATCAATCCAGCCTATTATCAACGATAATCGGGTTGCACAGTAGTTATACACTCAGTACACTATATTAATTTTGGAATTTGAATATTATTCACCATGTCTTGATGTCCGATTGGGCATATTCCCGGTCGGACAATTTGGGGCGTTTCGAAAAAAGATTCGGACAAGTCCGGAATATACGGGTAAAATCCCATCACTGCATCTAAGGTTTTATAAGGTTCTTATATGTTCACATAATTGTATAATTCTAATTGAATGATAAGGGTATGCGACCAGTCTAGTTCTACAATAATGTGTTGCTTTCTACATATTTCCATTTATTTAGGGTGTAGATATTTGATTTAAAAGCTTCCAATTCTAACGAGATTTTACTCATTAGAAAAGCATTATATCGGGATAGTGATGGCGTAACGTTTTCTAATTTAGATCTATATATATAGTATTTGGTTAAGAATATTAGATGGTTTGTAAAGTCCCATTCACATAAATTATTGAAACTTGTTTTTTCTGGATAACCGAAATGGATATTTTTATTTGTTAATGTTATATTTATGTTACTTTTAAGGGT